AGACTCCGTAGGAGGTCGAGTAGCGCGCCCCGCAGTGGCAGTGCCAGCGCTGGCCCGTCTCTCCCGCTGCCTCCTGGGCGCATGAGAGCAGCTGTGACCAGCGATCCGAGCGGATCACCGAACAGCATCCCCTGGGATTATCCCAGGTCTTGTTGGCCGCGCATGTGTAGTGCATGTTGAACGTGAAGCCCTTATCACGGTAGAACTGGTCTGTGTAGTCGCCCATGCGGCGGTGGGCCTCCTGCGCCGCGGTGTTGCCCTGGCACTCCTCCTTCCAGGCACGTTTGTGTCCCAGGTGGGCATCTGCGATCCCCGAGGCGTCCAGGACACCCCTCTTCAGCCTTCCCACATCCTCCTCCGCCTCCTCGTTCAGCGCTCCGAAGCCACTTCTGGACTCAGTCCTGCGCCTCGGGCCCCTCACCATGTTCCTCCTTCACTTCCTCCGGGATGGCCCCAGGCCGCCCAGATGCGGCGCGCATGGTCTCGAATTGAGGACACCGCAGGCCCGCGCCATGCGCTTGGGCGACTTTCTTGGATAGGCCGAGCCGTTACCCGCTTTGCGGCATGGTCGACGGAGCCTGGGCCCTTTGTTTCCGCGTGCAGCGCGCGTCTCGCGGCCTCGCGCCGGGAGCCATCCGACGTCGCCACGCAGTTCGAGACATTACAGCTGAGCCTGCCCCCTGTTTGCCCCTACTCAAGTTTCGGGCATTTCCCGCGGTTCCCTTGGCGCCCATCGCAGGCGACGCAAAATCTCCGCCACAGCTGAGCTCGTTCCCACTTACTCCACCGCCATAATTTCCAGTCGCCCAGCGCCGTGCAGCTCCGGACGCCAGCCCAGGCGGTGCGGCGGGGCCCAATATGCGCCCATGCAGTGGACGTAGCCCGCCTCAGCGTAGTCCTCCTCCGTCATCATCTCTACGTCTTCGAGCGCGGCTGGTGCGCCGTCACTCGCCTGGGGGGCCTGGCCGTAGACGGCTTTGTTGCTGCGTCGGCGGTGGCGCTTGCCCCCGTGGCCGCTGAGGGCGCCCGTGGTCGCAGCGCTCGGGGCTTCGCTGGCGGCCCCGTCGTCCACGGCGCGCTCGCCGTCGGCAGTGCTGCGCGCCCCGCGGCCGCCACGGCCACCCACAGCATGCCCCCTCAGCTGAAGGTTGTGGAGCGCGAGGGTGAGCGCGTCCAGCCCACGCCGCTGCTCTGTGGTGAAGTCGGCGTACGTGGCTGCCGCTGCCAGGGCGGCTGACGTCACTGGCACCACCGCCGATGCAGGCGTCGCCGCGGCGCCATCGGAGGCGGCGGCGCTGGGGGCGGCCCCCGCGCCGCCGCCTCCATCGGCGTCCTCAGCGGGGGTCGTTGATTCCGTGTGCACCGTCGGTGCCGTCCGAAAGGTCGCCGCCTCGGACATCATGTCGTGCTCCTCGCCTTCGCTCTCCGACAAGCTTACCTGCTGGACAGGGCGCTGAGTCGGCCTTGCTTTGGAGGATGGTGCCTCCCCCGCGGCGCACGTCTTGGCGGGCCACGGCATCGGCGCGGGCTTCGAGAACTTGGGCGCCATCACTTGGTCGAGTGGATGGCGCGGGAGGTGCAGCTCGAGAGAATGTGCGAGGCAGGTACTCACGAGCCAAACAGCTGACGGGGATGAGAGGGGAAGGGGAGAGGCTGTACACCGAACCAAAATGGGGCGGCCAACTGCCAAGGCGGGACAAAGGTGGCACAGGAAGACTATGGGCTGAAACCAACGGCTCCAGGTGCGTGGGGCCCGTTCATTATGCTGGCGGAAAACGGCCTGACCCCCGTTCGGGGCCCTGGACGGGCAGGAGAGGGGGGAGGGGGGCGAGGAAACCACGCCGCGGGCGGGCGACAAAGCGGACGGCGGGCCGCCGACGGCCCCAGGACCCGCGGGGCGGCCCCGATCTTCAACGCCTCTGGACGCCTCTTTAGCCAGCGGCCTTGGACAGGAGATATTGAATTGGTTGCATGAAGGTCAACCCAGATGGGGCTGCGGGACCACCTCGTGCCAGAATAACGAGCATCAAAGATTGTGGCATGCCGGAGACAAAACATGCAGCAAAGCAAGGACGGAAGCAAAACACCATGGCGTGCAGACCAAACATGACACTACAGTAGCGCGTTTTGTGCGCGACCTGGGAGGACAGCGAAAACTTGCACAATGAAGGTGTGGATCAATTTTTGATGACCACTCGGGCGGGGGGGAGAGGCTCCGGCGATGAGGGGGAAGGGAGAGGAGGGTTCAGTACGCTCTCCCCCCCCCCCCCCCAACATGCAAGGGGGGCGGGGCCACGCTATCAAGACTGGGAACGCTTTCGTGGGCGGCCCCTGCATTCCAGTCTCGCTGCGTCCTCCGTTCGCTCAGGGCGACTCTTGCCTCCGCAATTGTTCCCTAACAGGGGGTGGCTACTACCGATCGCACCCCCCCAGGGCTGCACGAGCCGCGGGCCGTTCGGCCTCCGCCAATTCCCCTACGGCACGGCGCAGCCACGTCTCCGCCTCTGCGCCCCAGCGGCCGTTGACATCTAGGACAAAGGGCACCAGGCCCGAAAATGTGTACCTACGGTGCTTCACTTTCTCTCTGCGCTGCAGGGCTGCCTGGCGCGGCCGCCCCGCCTGAGCCACTGCCACCTCGTCCACCAAGCTGATGTCGAGGCAAACTCGACCATGGATGCCTCGATGGTAGACCACGTACAATGTGGCCGCGCCTTGCTCCTCCGTGTACCACTCTGGGATGACCTGCTCCAGCAGGGCATGATGGCCCACCCCGCGCAGCCAGAGCGCCACGGCGTCTCGAATGGCATTGTGGCGTCGCGTCGGGTCGCCCCCCCCTGGGGCAGTTGAGCGCATGGACGCCCCAAAACGTCCACCGCGCGGCCGCGCGTCGGGCGCGCTTGCCATCGCGCGGCGTGGCGCCTGGCTGGTCGGTTCAGGCACGTGCACTCGGAAACCTGCAGCAGGCGGCAGGTGCATGCGCATCTTGGCAGCAATGCAGAACGCGTGGTCGGGCGAGGGGCGAGGACCCCCTCGAAAATTATCCACCGGCGCCCGCTGAGCTGCCGAGGTCACATGCACCGCGCCGCTTGCTGCTGCTGCTTGCTCGCTGCTCTGCCCCTACTACTACTAATACTACTCTACTACTACTACTACTACTACTACTACTACTACTACTACTACTACTACTACTACTACTACTACTACTACTACTACTTATACTACTACTACTACTACTACTACTACTACTACTACTACTACTACTACTACTACTACTACTACTACTACTACTACTACTACTACTACTACTACTACTACTACTACGACTACGACTACTACTACTACTACTACTACTACTACTACTACTACTACTACTACTACTACTACTACTACTACTACTACTACTGCTTCTTCCACTTCTACTTCCCCTACTACTGCTGCTGCTGCTGCTGCTGCTGCCCTGCCTTTGCTAGTGCTGCTGCTACCGCTATCGAGGGCGTCCCAGAGCCCGGTGAGGAGTAGGGGTGAATATCATTGCTTGAGCCACGGCGTCTCCTAAATATCAGATTCCGTCTGATAGTTTTACCAACCCTCCTGCGTTGGGTACTCGTTTTGAATAGAGCACTGCGGTCGCGTCTTCCCTTCTCCTCCTTCCCGTCCCCCTCCTCTCCTCCCTTTTCATCCTCCTCCTCTTTTCTCTTGCATCCCTGGGGGGCTGCGATCTGTGGAACTGTCGCCACTTTCGAGGGCTGCTGGGGGGTTCAGCGGAGTGAGGCACCACGGGGATTCAGATTAGACCTCGCCATCTCTGGTGGTGGCTGCGATCTGTGAAACTGTCGCCACTTTCGAGGGCTGCTGGTGGGTCCAGCGGAGTGAGGCACCACGGGGACTCATATTAGACCTCGCCATCTCTGGGGGTGGCTGCGATCTGTGAAACTGTCGCCACTTTCAAGGGCTGCTGGTGGGTCCAGCGGAGTGAGGCACCACGGGAACTCATATTAGACCTCGCCATCCCTGGGGGCTGGGGGGCTGTCGCCACTTTTGAGGGCTGCTGGTGGGTCCAGCGGAGTGAGGTACCACGGGGATTCAGATTAGACCTCGCCATCTCTGGGGGTGGGGGCTGCGATCTCTGAAGCTGGCGCCACTTTCGATGGCTGCTGGTGGGTCCAGCGGAGTGAGGCACCACGGGGACTCAGATTAGACCTCGCCGTCTCTGGGGGGCTGCGATCTGTGAAACTGCCGCCACTTTCGAGGGCTGCTGGTGGGTCCAGCGGAGTGAGGCACCACGGGGATTCAGATTAGACCTCGCCATCCCTGGGGGGGCTGCGATCTGTGAAACTGTCGCCACGTTCGAGGGCTGCTGGTGGGTCCAGCGGAGTGAGGCACCACGCCATTCCTGGGGGACTGCGATTTGCGAAACCGTCGCCACTTTCGATGGCTGCTGGGGGGCCAGCGGAGTGGGTCCTACGCAGACTCAGGCTCGACTTCGCCATCCCCGAAGGGCTGCGATCTGCGAAACTGTAGCCACTTTCGAGGGCTGCTGGAGGGCCCAGCGGAGTGGGGACATATTCTGATTCAGATTAGACCTCGCCATCCTTGGGGGGCTGCGATTTGCGAAACCGTCACCACGTTCGAGGGCTGCTGGGTGGCCCAGCGGAGTGACGTCATACGCGAGCCTGGGGCTTTAATCCTCGTTCTTTCGATCGTCGTCCTGTGAGCCGTGCAATGCGTGCGCATCCCATGTAGTTTGCACAGCAATTCACATCGCCTACATTATCGTTGTTCCTGCTAATGTTGGCCTACTCCTCTTGCCACTTGTATTCCCAACCCTCCTTGGTTGGGTATTTGCTGGGAAGTTTGTAGTTTTACATATATATGTGATTATAGAGAATATAATCAGACTGTCCTGGAGGATCCAGGAAATCCTGCAGCCCTTTGTTGCTCGAGGAAAAGAGCGACCCTCACCTCCCCCCTTTCTCCGCGAGGGGGGTGGGTGCGCGTGCATGGTAGCGGAGCTCGCTTGAGGTTCGCGGGCCGCTCCGCACCCCAGCGAGCTCCAGGAGCCCCTCGAGAGGGCCCAGCGGCGCGACGCCGCGGGTCCGGCAGCCAGCGGGACGATCCACGCGGCCGCCGAACGAAGTACCCCTTGCTGGTCAGAGCTGCGGTCAGACCCGCGCTCTGACAGCGGTGGCCAGCCAGCCAACAAGGGCAAGGGCAAGGCCACGCTGAAGGCCAAGAAGCCGAATAAGCGAGGAGGCAGAGCGGCGGACACGCGTGAGCACCGCCAGCTCCGAGGGACCGCCTTTAGGAAGCTTGCGGCGTGCGGCAGCAAGGCGAAGCTCACTCAGGAGGAGCGAGCAGCAGTGAAGAGGCAGCTGGCGAGCGACATCGAGAGGCTGGAGAAGCGTGTCGTTGACGTGCTCGACGCCGACCAAGATGGAGCAGCAGCTGCAGCAACTGGTCGATCAAGTTCAGAGGCTGACGACGGAGAGTCAGAACATGAGGCAGGAGCTTCAGAACAGGGACGTGCAGATCGCAGAGATGAGAGGACAACTGCAGGGTCAGCAGCAGGCTCAGCAGCAGGCTCAGCAGCAGCGGGTAGCCCCGCGCGGCGAGATGATGGATCCGAAGATCCTTCACAAGGTGAAGCCGTTCGACGGCCAAAGGTCGAGCTGGACGACGTTCAGCTTCCAGTACAGAGCGTACCTGATCGCCCAGGATCGGAGGTACCGAGATCTTCTGGAAAGGTGCGAGGACGGAGCCCAGGAGGTGGACAACGTCAACCTGGACCCGCAGGAGGAAGAACTCAGCACGCAGTTGTACTACGGCCTGGTCCTGGCCATGCCCGAGGACTCGGTGGGCGAGCTGATCGTGAGGAACAGCCCAGTAGGAGAAGGAGCCGAGTGTTGGAGGAAGCTTCAGAAGGAGTACAACCCGAGCGAGGCAGGCAACGTGCTGGCGATGTGGACCAAGCTCACGGACACGAAGTTCGACGCCAAGGAAGACGTGATGGTGAGCATCAGCAAGCTGGACGAGGACATGGCGAGGTACCAGAAGATGGCAGGAGAGCCCGTCTCGGACCTGATCAAGCGCGGCATCCTCACAAAGGCGCTGAAGGATCACGACGAGCTCCAGAAGCACGTGTTTCGGAACAGCAGTCGGTTAAGTACGTACGAGCTTCTGAGAGCCGAGGTGGTGTCGGCGTTGGCGGCAGAGCGAGCGGTTCAGGACGACCCGATGGAGATCGGAGCGCTGAAGGGCGGAAAGAGACCGTGGAAAGGCCGCGGAAAAGGGAAAGACGGCAAAGGCAAGGAGAGGCCACCGAATCCCGACGCCGAGATCGAGTGCCACTACTGCCACAAGAAGGGTCACCGCAGCGCAAACTGCCGAAAGCGGATCGCCGACGAGAAGAAGACACCCGAGAAGGACAAGAAGGACAAGAAGCAGTTCCGAAAAGAGAAGGCAAAAGAAAAGAAGAAGATCGGGGCAGCGGCAGTCAGGGAGCTCGAAAGGTTACGACAGACAGGAGTGGGCACAGGATCAAGCTCGACAGCACCGACACAACAGATGCTAGGAAGTCAAGGAAGCGCCGACAGCGCGATGACTCAGCAGGTGCTGCGCCCAGTCAACTGTGCGCTGCGAGCGAAGATGATTCTGGCCCTGAGGGCAGAGGTCACAAGAAGCGCAGCCACACGATCGACTGGAAGTACGGCTTGCCTAGCTACTACCAATATGTATGCTGCTCTTGCAAGAAGACCTTTGAAGGACGGCGATGGCACTACGATCAGTGGAAGCTGGACTACTGTGCCGTGTGTGCCGAGTACTGCCTGGACGGCCTCAAGGACGGGGAAGAGCCAGACGACGACAAGAAGCCAAAGAAGCGCAAGAAAGGCTAGATTCGTCGCTGACGACCGTCAGTGCTGCGATATGCCAGCTGCGGTGAGCCCCGCGCTGGCCGGCCCCAGGCCTGTTACCATCGCTGGTCTTCGGCCCGTGGATGAAGATCAGAGCCCTGCGGATGACCGATTGCGGTTAGCCCCGCTTCGGAATGCGATCATGCTCGATTCAGGTGCGCAGATCAGTGCGATACCGAGGTCACAGGTGACCAAGCACAACTACACGCCGACGGACAGCAACGTTGTCGGCTTGAAGGGCATAGGAGGCGAGGAGATCGAGAGGTACGGCTACGTGGAGATGAACCTATCCCGAGGAGGAGAGGTTATTCAAGTCGGTGCTGAGGTTGCCGATGTGGAGTACCCAGTTGTGGCTACAGACGCTGTGGTACAACGTGGTCAGAGTGTTCTTCATAGCCCTGCAGGTCACTGGATCATCAACGGTACCATCGAGCCACCTGACGGAGCTGAGTTCGTACCTCTACGTCGTCACCAAGGCAACTACTACTTAGAGTACGATCACATCATCGACGGCCAGACTCAACCAGAAGCTTCAAAGGTAGCTGCGGTACGAAAGACACTACCAAGGAAGGTACCAGCTGAACAGGAAGCTGGATCTTTGCCGAAGGTTCTAGGTCCCGAAGCTGATGAGACCACAACTGTGCCAACGAGAGTGTTAAAGACTCCTCACCAACCTAGTGCTGCGGAGAGAGCCGCGCACGAAGGGCATCATCTACCTTTTCGGCCTTGGTGTCCCATCTGCGTGCAGGCTCGAGCAGACGATGACCCCCACCACGCTCAGGAACCAGCTGATGAGAACAAGATCCCGAAGGTGGTGTTCGACATCTTTTACGTAGGGACAGACCAGCTGGCTGCGAAGTACAAGCTTAAAGGAGGTTACTTCAGCATCAGGGAGAAGACATCGGTCACGAAGGCCGAGTTAGACCAAGCGGTCTCTGTCTTGAATGTTATCGACTGTAAGATCTTGGCTCAGGCGACGTTGTACGCGAACAAGGAGACGGATGACTACAAGGTGTCCTTCCTGCTAGGCGTGCTGGAAGCTTGGGGTCACACAACAGTCATACTTCAGACAGACCAGGAGCCTGCCACCATGGCTCTGGCGCAGGCAGTTCGAGATCGCAGATCACACTCAACCTTGGTGCGGGGATCACCGCCCTTTTCCAAGCAGAGTGCAGGCTACGCTGAAGGAGGTAACAAGCTAGCTGCTGGTCTACTTCGAGCCTACAAGCTGAAGCTGGAGCACAAGCTGGGCTGCGAGATCAAGATGACGGATCCGATCGTGCCATGGCTTGTGAACTCAGTGGGGTGGATGATCACCAGATTCCAGCCTCGCAGTCACGGAGGTTCCTCCTACAAGATGCTCTACGGCAAAGAGTACAACGGCGAGATTGCGGAGATGGGTGAGCAGGTCTGGTATCGGATCTCAGCCCGAGTTGCCGCGGGACGTGGCAAATGGGAAGCCCGCTTCGCAAAAGGAATCTGGGTTGGTAAGAGCGAACTGGACGACACACATCTCGTGATCGATCCTGAACGTGGAGTGCAGAAGGTGAGAACGGTGCGAAGGATGCCTGAGGAGTTCAGGTGGCAGCCCGAGCTCATCCAGCACATCAGGGTGACGCCCTGGAAGCAGACGCCCGACAAGAGTTCAGGAACGATCGGACGCAGCATGTACATCACGGAGCGCATGATCGATGCTCATGGTCCTACCGACGATTGCAGGAAGTGCAGTACAGGATACGGTTCGCATTCGGCAGCCTGCCGACAGCGTTTCGAGACCATTCAGGCCGACTTGCTGCGCGAGAAGTTGGCGAAGGACCCTGTGGCCCCTGAGGCTACAGTCGTGGTGCCAGCGCCGGCTGCGGGAAGCCCCGCGCCTGGAGCCGCACCCGGAGGAGCAGCGGCATCAAGCAGCAGTGAGGTTGCGGTGAGCCCCGCACCTGCTGCCAGTGACGTAGCTATGGTTCCTGGCCCAGGAGAGGCTGAGGTGCAGACAGCCATGGACACGGAGAGTGGAGAGCTCAGGAGCGACTTTCGGCGAAGCGCCCCAGGTGAAGTTCGTGAAGGAGCTGAGGTCAAGAAGCCCAGGGTAGCAAGCATTGGGCATCTCTCTGTCTGTGAGTTGGCAGTCTGCGAGGAGGGCTACGACGAGAGCTTCGACCCCATGTGGGATCCACACCCAAAGCGCAGTGCGAGATGTTCCGAGAGGTGTGAGAAGCACTCATCACGATGCCAGCTACGAGAATGCCACCAAGCTGAGTGTGCATGCAGGAGATGTTTGATGAGCCACATCGGCACAATCAGGAGCCACTTCGGAGATCCTGAGGAGCAGCAGGTGGAGCAGATGGTTGAGGTGAGCGCCGAGCTGCATGAGAAAGACCAGTGGAGCCCAAAGACGATACACTACGATTACTACACTGGAGAGCCTCTGGATGAGGACCTGTATCAGAAGGGTCGCGACGACGAGCTGCAGGCCATGAAGGACTACGGGGTCTACGTGGAAGTGGCGACATCGACGGCGACCGACGGCAAGCACATTGGAGGTTTCCCGATAGCCCACATGAAAGAAGGAAAGGTCAGGTGGAGGTTCGTAGCGACCGAGGTGAACAAGTACGAGGTCAGGGAGGACAACCACCAAGGCACGCCCCCGCTCATGATCGTCAGAGCGACGCTGAGCCGTGCCGCTTCAAGTCCAACTTCCAGCGGGCAGCACCTGCGGAAGATACAAGTCTGGGACGTCAGGAAGGCTTTCTTCAACGCTGACTTAGACGAGACGATCTACGTGCATCCTGGGAGAGAGCTGTGTCCGCCTGGAAGGTGCTGGTGGTTACGCAAGGCCATGAACGGTACCAGGAAGGCGTCGCAGATGTGGGGTGAGCTTGTGAGAACTACTATGGACGACGGCCATTGGGAATGCTTGGTTGGAACTCCTAACGTGTTCTACTTACCTGCTAGCCCCAACACAGCCCCCTTCGACGAGGATAGCACAGCGATCTGCCATGGCGATGACTTTCTTGCTGAAGGCTACGACGAGCAGCTGGACGAGCTGGACGAGTTGTTGAAGCAGCAGTTTGAGGTCACGGCCAGCGCCAGACTTGGACCAGGAGCGGTGGGGCAGACTACATACCTCAAGAGGACGATCGGCTATACCGACAAGTTGCCAGGTTGCGAGGAGCCAGGTTTCTTCTGGATTGCCGATCCTAAGCATGTGGACTTCATGATCAAGTGGACGCAGAAGCGAGGTTGTAAACCAGCTCCCACTCCAGGGACGAAAGCTACAGGACAAGGCCGACGAGACAGCCTAGACCTTCTTTCCAAGGATCGTGCTCGAGAAGTGGCGGGTGCAGCTGGCACCGCTCTTTACCTTTCTTCGGACAGGCCCGACACGATGTACGCCAGCAAGACAGCGATGCAGCACGTCTCCAACCCGAACGTCTTGATGCATGCGCGTGTTCAGCGACTTGGAAGGTACTACGAAGGACAGCCTGTGTTGGTCTGGTGTTACCCACTTCAAGGTACTCCTGAAGGCATTCGTGTAGATGGTGACGCAGATTGGGCACCTACGAGTGAACTACAGCGGCGATCTACCAGTGGAGGAGCTGTGAGGTATGGTGACCACACTTGGGACTGCTACTCAGTGACGCAGAGTACGATAGCCCTAAGTTCAGGGGAATCCGAGATGTACGCTACGGGAAGTGCGACAGCCAGAGGACTTCAGTGTAAGACTTACCTGATCGAGACCCAGAGGCCCTGCAACCTGAAGATCTATAGTGACAGCACAGCTGGACGTGGCATGTGCAGTCGAGTTGGGGTGGGCAAGGTCAGGCACCTGGAGTTGAGGTACTTGTGGATTCAGGAGCGGTTGCGTCTCAAGGCGTTCGAGCTGCACAAGGAGGACACCAGCAAGATGACAGCCGACATGCTCACGAAGTACAGCGAGTGGCCGACAATCGAGAAGCATTGCACCACTCTCAACCTCAGGTTCGGAAAGCAGTTGAAGGGCTTGAGCGCAATGGCAGTTTTCACGGAGGTCGTGACGAAGGCGTCAGGCGAGAAGGTGACAGTGTACGGAGGTTCTGACGAGGTTGCGGTTTGCCCCGCGCCTGTCAGCCACTACGTGGACAGCGAGGAGTTCTGGTTCTTCCTGAAGTTGGGACTAGTTGTGGTGACTGCAGCCAGTGCTTTCTTATTGGGGTGCTGGTGTGGTTGTTACTTCAAGGACTTCTACGACAAGTTCCTCCTCCAGGGTGCGGTTGACCCCGCCTCTGGAAGCACGTGTATACCATCTGCGCGGGCTGAGGCCGAGTTCAAGACCGTGTGTGTACAGCAGGACAAAGGAGCAAGGCACAAGCTCTTAAGCACGTTTCTTGTAGCTGAGCTGCGAGCTGTCTTGAAGGCCAAGAGCCTGGCCGTGTCAGGGATCAAGGAGGACCTGGTCACGAGAATGATCAAGCACGGATGCGTTCTGTCGGATCGCCAGGCCAAGGAGATCGAGCAGCTGCGAGTGATGGCTACAGCGCGAGGACCTCTTACCAAGCTCAGCTTGCAGGACATCAGCAGTCCAGAGGCCGCGCAGAAGTGGATCGAGACGTTCAAGAGCGAGTGCGGAGACCGTTCCAGAGGCTCTCAGGTGATCCACGGAGAGGGCTAGGAGAATGGTCGCAGGAAGCACTACGACAGCCGAAGGTGAGCTTTCTTTTACAGGCTGCGGTTTGCCCCGCGCCTGCCCTCTGCGGGTAGCCCCGCGATGGGCTTAGGCGGGCAGCGCCGTTGCGAAGCCTGCTCAGGGAGCACAAAGTGGTTTCCCTGTGGCTCACGTTTCTCGGCTGGAGGCCGAGCCGCTTCCAGCGCCCAAGGAGAGGTGCTGGGAAGTTTGTAGTTTTACATATATATGTGATTATAGAGAATATAATCAGACTGTCCTGGAGGATCCAGGAAATCCTGCAGCCCTTTGTTGCTCGAGGAAAAGAGCGACCCTCACCTCCCCCCTTTCTCCGTGAGGGGGGTGGGTGCGCGTGCAGTATTCGTTTTGAATAGAGCAGTGTGGTCTCCACTCCTTCCTTCCTCCTCCTCCTCCTCCCCCCCTGCCTCTTCCTGTCTTGCCTGCGGGGGGCTGCGATCTGTGAAACTGTCGCAATTTTCGAGGCCTGCTGGGGGGCCCAGCAACGTGAGGGCCCTGCGCATTTTCAAATTAGACCTCGCCATCCCTGGGGGGCTGCGATCTGTGAAACGGTCGCCATTTTCGAGGCCTGCTGGGGGGCCCAGCACCGTGAGGGCCCCGCGCAGATTCAAATTAGGCCTCGCCATCACTGGGGGGGCTGCGATCTGTGAAACTGTCGCAATTTTCGAGGCCTGCTGGGGGGCCCAGCAACGTGAGGGCCCCTGCGCATATTCAAATTAGACCTCGCCATCCCTGGGGGGCTGCGATCTGTGAAACTGCCGCCACTTTCGAGGCCTGCTGGGGGGCCCAGCACAGTGAGGGCGACGCGCAGATTCAAATGAGACCTCGCCATCCCTGGGGGGCTGCGATCTGTGAAGCTGTCGCCATTTTCGAGGCCTGCTGGGGGGCCCAGCACAGTGAGGGCGACGCGCAGATTCAAAATTAGACCTCGCCATCCCGGGGGGGCTGCGATCTGTGAAACTGTCGCCATTTTTCGAGGCCTGCTGGGGGGCCCAGCACAGTGACACCACGGGCGGACCCAAATTAGACCTCGCCATCCCTGGGGGGCTGCGATCTGTGAAACTGTCGCCACTTTCGAGGCCTGCTGGGGGGCCCAGCACAGTGACGCCACGGGCGGATTCAAATTAGACCTCGCCATCCCTGGGGGGCTGCGATCTGTGAAACTGTCGCCACTTTCGAGGCCTGCTGGGGGGCCCAGCACAGTGACGCCACACGCAGATTCAAAAGTAGACCTCGCCATCCCTGGGGGGGGTGCGATCTGTGAAACTGTCGCCACTTTCGAGGCCTGCTGGGGGGCCCAGCACAGTGACGGGCCACGGGCAGATTCAAATGAGATCCGCCATCCCTGGGGGGGTGCGATCTGTGAAACTGTCGCCACTTTCGAGGCCTGCTGGGGGGCCACAGCACAGTGACGCCACGGGCAGATTCGGGGGGAGTGCGACTGTGAAGCTGTTGGCATTTTCGAGGCCCAGCACAGAGATGGCCACTTCAATTAGGCCAGGGGGGGCTGCGATCTGTGAAACTGTCGCCATTTTCGAGGCCTGCTGGGGGGCCCAGCAAAGTGAGGGCCCCGCACAGATTCAAATTAGACCTCGCCATCCCTGGGGGGCTGCGATCTGTGAAACTGTCGCCATTTTCGAGGCCTGCTGGGGGGCCCAGCGCAGTGACGCCACGGGCAGATTCAAATGAGACCTCGCCATCCCTTGGGGGCTGCGATCTGTGAAACTGTCGCCACTTTCGAGGCCTGATGTGATCCCCGTTTTCGAAGTGGCTAGTGAGTGCTCAGGAATTGTAACTCATCAGCTTTATCAAGCCCTTCTCCTGTAGCCAGTGTCCTGCGAGTCCCCCGAATTCCGTCTGCAGACATATGTAACCCTCGCTCCGTCATCGCCCCCTTATAAAGTATCCTAAACTATTTGCGCCCCGCTTTTGCGCAGGGGTTGGGTGCGTCGCCAGGGTAATTATTCCCAACCCCCCTTGGTTGGGTATTCGTTTTGAATAGAGCAGTGTGGTCTCCACTCCTTCCTTCCTTCCTCCTCCCTGCCTCCCTGCCTCTTCCTGTCTTGCCTGCGGGGGGCTGCGATCTGTGAAACTGTCACCATGTTCGAGGCCTGCTGGAGGGCTCAGCACAGTGAGGGCGACGCGCAGATTCAAATTAGACCTCGCCATCCCTGGGGGGCTGCGATCTGTGAAACTGTCGCCATTTTCGAGGCCTGCTGGGGGGCCCAGCACAGTGAGGGCGACGCGCAGGTTCAAATTAGACATCGCCATCCCTGGGGGGCTGCGATCTGCCAAACTGTCGCCACTTTCGAGGCCTGCTGGGGGGCCCAGGTGAGGGCGACGCGCGGACCCAAATTGGACCTCGCCATCCCTGGGGGGCTGCGATCTGTGAAACTGTCGCCACTTTCGAGGCCTGCTGGGGGGCCCAGCACAGTGACGCCACGCGCGGACCCAAATTCGACCGTGCCGTCCTTTGGGGGCTGCGATATGAGATCACCGCTTTCGAAGTGGCTAGGGTTGCTCAGGGATTGTAACTAATCAGTTTTATTTAGTCCTTGTCCTGTAGCCAGTGTCCTGCGAGTCTCCCGAATTCCGTCTGCAGACATATGTAACCGTCGCTCCGTCATCGCCCCCTTTTTTATAAAGTGTCCTAAACTATGTGTGCCCCGCGTTTGCGCAGGGGTTGGGTACGTCGCCAGGGTAAGTATTCCCCACCCTCCTTGGTTGGGTATTTGTTTTGAATAGAGCAGTGTGGTCTCCACTCCTTCCTTCCTCCTCCTCCCTCCCTCCCTGCCTCTTCCTGTCTTGTCTGCGGGGGGGCTGCGATCTGTGAATCTGTCGCCATGTTCGAGGCCTGCTGGGGGACTCAGCACAGTGAGGGCGACGCGCAGATTCAACTTAGACCTCGCCATCCCTGGGGGGCTGCGATCTGTGAAACTGTCGCCATTTTCTAAGCCTGCTGGGGGAGGGGGGGCCAGCACAGCGAGGGCGACGCGCAGATTCAAATTAGACCTCGCCATCACTGGGGGGGCTGCGATCTGTGAAACTGTCGCCATTTTCGAGGCCTCCTGGGGGGCCCAGCACAGCGAGGGCGACGGGCGGACCCAAATTAGACCTCGCCATCCTTTGGGGGGCTGCGATGTGTGAAACTGTCGCCACTTTCGAGGCCTGCTGGGGGGGGCCAGCACAGTGAGGGCCACAGGCTCTAGTTAGACCTCGTCATCTCTCAGGGGCTGCGATATGAGATCCCCGCTTTCGAAGTGGCTAGGGGTGCTCAGGGATTGCAACTTATCAGCTTTATCAAGTCCTTGTCCTGTAGCCAGGGTTCTGCGAGTCTCCCGAATTCCGTCTGCAGACATATGTAACCTTCGCTCCGTCATCGCCGCTTTATAAAGTTTCCTAAACTATGTGCACCCCGCGTTTGCGCAGGGGTTGGGTACGTCGCCAGGGTAATTACTATTAGTATTATTCCCAACCCTCCTTGGTTGGGTATTCGTTTTGAATAGAGCAGTGGGGTCTCCACTCCTTCCTTCCTCATCCTCCCTCCGTCCCTGCTTCTTCCTGTCTTGCCTGCGGGGGGCTGCGATCTGTGAAACGGTCGCCATTTTCGAGGCCTGCTGGGGGGCCCAGCAAAGTGAGGGCGACGCGCAGATTCAAATGAGACCTCGCCATCCCTGGGGGGGTTGCGATCTGTGAAACTGCCGCCATTTTCGAGGCCTGCTGGGGGGCCCAGCACAGTGAGGGCGACGCGCAGACTCAAATTAAACCCGCCATCCCTGGGGGGGCTGCGATCTGTGAAACGGTCTCCATTTTCGAGGCCTCCTGGGGGGCCCAGCACAGTGAGGGCGACGCGCATATTCAAATTAGACCTCGCCATCCCTGGGGGGCTGCGATCTGTGAAGCTGTCGCCATTTTTCGAGGCTGCTGGGGGGGGGGGGGCAGCACAGTGAGGACACGCGCGGATTCAAATTAGACCTCGCCATCCCTGGGGGGCTGCGATCTGTGAAACTGTCACCATGTTCGAGGTCTGCTGGTGGGCCCAGCACAGTGAGGGCGACGCGCGGATTCAAATTAGACCTCGCCATCCCTGGGGGGGCTGCGATCTGTGAAACTGTCGCCACGTTCGAGGCCTGCTGGGGGGCCAGCACAGTGGCAGGGCCACGGGCAGATTCAAATTAGACCTCGCCATCCCTGGGGGGCTGCGATCTGTGAAACTGTCGCCACTTTCGAGGCCTGCTGGGGGCCCTGCACAGTGAGGGCGACGGGCGGACCCAAATTAGACCTCGCCATCCCTGGGGGGCTGCGATCTGTGAAACTGTCGCCACTTTCGAGGCCTGCTGGGGGGCCCAGCACAGTGGGTACTCACGGCGGACCAAATTGGACCTCGCCATCCCTGGGGGGCTGCGATCTGTGAAACTGTCGCCACTTTCGAGGCCTGCTGGGGGCCCAGCACAGTGGGTACTCACCGCGGATTCAAATTAGACCTCGCCATCCCTGGGGGGCTGCGATCTGTGAAACTGTCGCCACTTTCGAGGCCTGCTGGGGGGCCCAGCACAGTGGGTACTCCACCGCGGATTCAAATTAGACCTCGCCATCTGGGGGGCTGCGATCTGTGAAACTGTCGCCACTTTCGAGGCCTGCTGGGGGGCCAGCACAGTGGGTACTCACCGCGGATTCAAATTAACCTCGCCATCCCTGGGGGGCTGCGATCTGTGAAAAACTGTCGCCGCTTTCGGGGCTGCTGGTGGGCCCAGCACAGTGGGCACCCACCGCGGATTCAAATTCGGACCTCGCCATCCCTGGGGGGCTGCGATCTGTGAAACTGTCGCCACTTTCGAGGCCTGCTGGGGGGCCCAGCTCAGCGGGTACCCACCGCGGACTCAAATTAGACCTCGCCATCCCTGGGGGGCTGCGATCTGTGAAACTGTCGCCACTTTCGAGGCCTGCTGGGGGGCCCAGCACAGTGGTGG